CTTTCGAAATGCGAAATTTTTTGAAATAGATCATCGTGAGAAAATTGAGAAATATTTTTTATTTTAAAAGTTATTTGTGGAAGAACTGCTTCAGATAATTGTGTGTTGGTCAACTGCTTACTGCCCCTTTGGGCTGCATTTATTCTTTTCTCAACTCATTTTTAATGCTTTTCACGGAAGCTCGCGAAAATTTGGAGAAAGGGCTTGCCGCGCCGAACATCCACTCTGACTAGGAATAACTATGTACAGCAGAAATTCTTGTATGTTTTTGATATCTCTATAGCTGGGCAAAATCCTCGCAATGAATTGCGCGGAATTTCACATGCGTTTTGTAAAATACTTGGTAGGTCAAATTCGAAAGTCAAAACTCCTTCAGTATTCACTATCAGATGTGAAGCGAAGTACTCGGGAGGTAGTTTGAGTGGTAGCGAGTGCCAACACCAACCAACCGCCGGCAAGGCCGTCGGTGATTTCCTTTTTTGAGGGTTGCTTACATGCAAGTTGATAGCGGATTTCCTCTCTGGCACCCTCTTAACCAGCTTACTGTCGAAACGAATAGACGAATCGCTAGAAGGACTGTTGTCGCGCCGGCGAAGTCGAGTCATGTGCTGCAGCAGTGCCGCCCCACTGAGCTGTGCCTGCCGGTACTTTGCAGATACTGTACATTATCTAAATTTTGGGTACTGTATGCTCGTCTCACTGATAATACTTGTACGCCCGAGGTTTGATGGACTTGAAGACATCAGAAATGGAAAAGATTGAGAGTTTGATTCCCAACCATTTCAAATTCTTGCAAAAATGACTTGGCTCTAGACGCGCTTACCTGTAAAACTCGTTTGTCTTAATGTATATGGAATATTGCACATTACTCTTGTCATCATCAGTTCGTTACTTTCATTGAATAATTTGAGTTTTATGGAGTACAAAATATTTTTTCGTTGTGATTTGGGCGAAAATTAGAGTGCAACTTACTTCCGTAGTGCAGCTTACTTTAAATCTGTTGAGAAAATTCCACACTATGCTTTATCCTGATATATTTTGTTGGCCGAA